GAAGGGAACATGGAGGTGTTCTACGTGACCCGACAAATGCGCGCATGACAAAAGCGCGCGGATAAAACCGCGGCGCTAAAACCACGATGTCATCAACGCGCCGACAACAGCGCGCCGACAGAAGCGCGATTTAAGTTAAGGTAAGGGTTAGGTTTAGGTTTAGGTTTAGGGTTAGGGTTAGGGTTACAGCACGCTTCTGTCGGCGCGCTGTTGTCGGCGCGCTTCAGCGCTCTTTCGTCGCCGCGCTTCAGCGCTCTTTCGTCGCCGTGCTTTAGAACTCGCGGTTTTGTCACCGCGGTTTAGTCAGGCGCGCTTTTGTCGTTCGCCCTTTTGTGGGTGAACCGTTGTCAAGATTCAACATGTAAGATACAGTAGATATCAGAAGCTTAAAAAAATACATTAATAACATCTGCTTGTGTAGAGGCAATACGTTATTCGTATTTTGTAACTTAAGAGCATAATGTGTATCAATTGATTCAGCCAATGTAAGATAAGGCTAATTTTAAGTTTTATTAGCTTTTTTATTCTTTTAAAATTCAATTGTACGGAGAAATCTTTAATTGCAAAATAAAAACTTTAAAGTGAAACTTTCTTTGGATTTTACACATTAATACCATGCCTTTTTGCCACCACTTTAATCTCAAACATCTTTCTAGAAAAACTTTATTGCTGGGGGGAAAAAAAAACAGATTACATGGTTAATGATTTATAGTTTCACATGAGATCAAGCACTAGAAAAGAATGCATAAAATGTAATATTTCTGATGGACAACAAGTAAGAAATGGTTTGGTAGAAGAAGTAATAGGATGAGGTGCACCAAATATGAGAAGCAGTACAGCTGTATCATAGTCTAAAGGCACCTTTTCTGAAAGCTCCAACCAGGATTTGCTATATTATGGTCTCCTTGCAATAAGGACATCAATAATTTTTGTAAATTGTAAATGCTATTATATTTCAGAGAGTTTTATCTGCCAACCATGGTAAGAAAGAACCATGATAAAACAAGATCCATTAACAGCAAGATCAAAGCTGATCAAATTCTTTTATTGGATCTGTGTTTTACTGAAATTTTGAAAATCAACTTAAATATTTTGTGCTTTATGCTATGCAGGATGCAGTGGTGGGTTGCCAGTTTTTTTACTACCAATTCAGGCACACGCTCACGCGCATGTGTAGAAGCGCCCAGGCAGGTGGGCGGAGCCTCCCTCTGCTGCTACTAGCGGTTTGCCTGATCCAGGCCGAACCTGGAGCAACCCACCTCTGGCAGGATGCCAGAAAATATTTTTGCGATGTATTTTGACCAATCACACTGTCATAACTGATCACAATTATTTCAGGGGCCTGAAAACAGTACAAGCTGTCACAGTTTGGGAACTGTTTTTTCTAATACCATCTTAAAAACTATAATTAACTCCTTATGTATAGAAAAGATTCATTATATGAGATAATTATATGGGTTTGGAAGAATAGTATGTAAAGGCAAGCAATTATAATTAGCTCAGCAAAACTTTCACCTTCGGACTTTCTTTTTAATAAGGAGATGCTGTAGTTGTAGTCTTGAAATAAAAATACCAAGTCATAGACATAAATGAATTTACAATTACTTTCAACATCAATGTTCTTGGAAGATATTCCAATAATGTAATTATGCATGCAGTAATTCTTAAGTTACTCTTACAGTCCATGAAACTATTCCACAAGAGCATACTGTATGCTCATTATTCTGGAGAAAAACATAGATTTCAGACTTTTTCATAGAACTATGTGCTAATACAATGCAACAATAAATCATCATAATCATGAGCCCAATGACAGGCTTTAGGCTGATGAGAGCAAAGATAATTGATGAATGAAGTGTCATGAATTCCATCAGGCATTAGCACTGTATTAGCAAGATAAGGATATTTCACCTGATAACTTATGATTTTGTAGATGCCTCCATCACTTTGATTTCATGCTGAACAGAAGCATTTGCTGCCATACCAGAGGTGGGTTCCTACCAGTTCGCACCTATTCGGTAGAACCGGTTCGTCAAATCTACCG